GGGGCTTCTGGTGTGTTTGTTGTGCCTAGGGCAGCCCATTCATGTGTAAATGCTACCTAGGCGTGACGCACCAAAAAAAAAAAGTGTGTGTTTATGTGCGTTCCCGCTACGCATAATGTGAGTGGGGTCTAAGAGTTCAGAGTGGGATTTATGAACAAAATTGTGTGAGTTACGCCAGCGACTTTATTACAGGTATTTCTATAGTACCAGCAGTGTACACAGTGCTTGCATACTGTACATTCACATCAGTCTCTGCTGTTAAGGAGCTTACACTCTATGGTCCATATCTTTCATACATACATAGGGACAGTTTGGCCAGGAGGCAGTTAACCTACAAGCATGTCTTTGGAATGTGGGCAGAAACAGAATTACACAGATGATGCACAGGGAAAAATGCAAACTCCATGCAGATAGTGTCCTGACTGGGATTCAATTTAGGAAACCCAGTGCTACTAGATAGAAGTGCTAGCCACTGCATTACTTAATGCGCAGCTCCAGTCAAATTTACAAAAAATAAGTCGTCAGCTTCAAACATTGTAGCTGCTGACTTTTGAAATGCAGACACTTACCTGTCCCTGTATCCAGCGGTGTCCTCACCACAGCCGTGTTCACCTGCATCCTTTCTCCGGCGCCAGCATCTTTAGTGTGGGCACCCAGCTGTGACAGCTTGTGGCTTCACAGCCGGGTGCCCACTGTGCATACTCATCATGGTTTTGTTTCAGAAAAATTACATTCCGTATGTTTTTTGACCACTTTCTGCTGCTGTCTTTTGGAAGTAGATATTTCTGGAAAGGGAAAGAAAATATACTGTATGTGCCCTTTTATTGTTAGTGTTAATGTGAATGTAAGATAACGGGAAGTGTTAATGCACACTGAATACATGATTAGTCATTTTATTATCTATCTAATTGCTCTTTTCTGTGTTCAGTATGATGTAATAATAGACATCAAATCCAAATTTTCAGCTCAGAAAAGTTTTCAGAGTGACAGCCTGACTGTGGTGCTGGTAAGTACAGGTGCCTGCCCTTACCTTTGTACAGCTTCTACTGGGCAGATAAACCATTGTAACCAGGAGTTAAGGGTTTATTATGCAAATCTTGGCTTCCTTGACAACAGTTGAGGGTTGATTTCTCCTCCCTCAGCTCCATGTTTGGACATTGAAGTTGCCCATTATCTTGACCATTCATTCCATGGCATGGGGTAGAGGGGGACCAGCTTGACCCGCTGAAATTTACATATCAAGTCTCCAGGGATTGAAGACACAGTACAGTTGTACGGGCTGGTTTCTGAGTGTGCTTGCACTTGGGTCAGGCTCTCTTTCTTTTCTGAGATAGTTCTAATTTGCAGTATCTCAACATATTAAAACAGGCACAGTAACCAGGCAAATACAATTTTTGGATGGTGGTTACCATGTTTCTCTCATGACAAGTTCAATGGTGCAATTTTTCAGTTGTTGATTTGGTGGAGGGGTTTAGGTGTACCACATAATAAATTGTTTACCTCTGCTCTCCAGCTTCTGCTGCAACCTGCTTCAATTAAAATCCCACACTAAACACATAGTTCTGTAGCAGGTTTCCCTATTCAAGTGTATAGGGAAACACAATCTCTTTACAAAGGACTGTATATCAATGTTCTGTGGGACCTTTAACTCAGTAGATTGTAGCTGGGGGAGCATTGGATGTGACCCACCTAATCTACCTCTGCCTTGGACAATGTAACTTGGATGCCGATCTCCTGCTTTTGTGTCTATTCGTGTATTATTTCAATATATATATATTGCTTTTTATACTGTTTTGTTTCACAGCTACTTGTACCTCACACGTTCAACTCCCCTACTCTCCAATCCAATTCTCTAACCCGTCCCACTTCTGGTTCAAACATCTCACTTACCACGTATGCTTCTGATGACATGCAAATTAGCAGCAGGAACAAGGATCCAAAGAAAGTGGCCTGGCCCAAAGCAAAAAGGAGCTCATTTGGGAAGCAGAAGATGGACAGAACTGCAGTTTTATCGGTTAATATATGTCCTCTGTCAAAGTGTTTTCTTTGTAGGGACTTCTGGTGGAGGACATCTTCACTGTGATGGAGTTACTAACCTCTCCATGGGACAATCAACTAATGCCACATACATTTGTGACATGAGAAATGAAAGGCTAGGCATATATATTGGTTTGTTTACTAATCCAGTTCATTAGTAGCAGTGCATGCTTTTAAGACTTTTTTTTTTTTTTTTCTGTAGGATCACTGGTATGTTAATTAGTAAGAGTTTAATAAAATACACTGATGTTTTAATGCAGCAAACAATAACTTGGGGACACATGCACTGTTATGCTGGAGAACTGGACTTGAGAAACACTGCCTCATGGGGGTGTATCTGCACGTACCCTTTTCTCCCATTGTAACATGGTATCCTGACTAAAAACACAGAAATAATATGCAGCAGTAGCACAAACTGAAAAATAGCTATGAAGTACACATTTTTGACTGGACAACATTACTAATGGTCAGTGCCTATGTAGTCATGGAGTTGTAGGCCCTTCCTGTGTGCTGTATAAAGTCATAGCTGTGTGTTGTAACATGCAAGACCTCCTTTATTTTTTAAAGAAAGTGGCCCGGCCTGTTTTATTTATTTATTTTTACTGGCTGAAAGGCATAAGCAGTGGCTTTACCCCTGTCACAAGCCATCATTATCTAACCTACTGCAGCAAAATAAACAAGAACTATTTGGGCTTTTCTAAAAAAAAAAAAACAAACATCAACGAGGAGATCGCTTGGTTAATAAAGAATTGGCAAAAAACTCACTTTATAGGGTAGCTCTACAACCAATGCATACTATAAACAAAAATAGAATGGTAAAAAGGCCCATCACAAATGCTTGTATAAAAATGAATGCTTTATTTAGCAAGAAAAACATAAAACAAAACCAAAAAATAAACAAAAAAAACGTTCAAACGTAAAAGGCAGTATTGTCAGAAGTAGTGTTTGGCAGGGCAGTGACAATATTCTAACTATAACATTTTTACGAAGTAATATAGCTCCTCTATATACCCCATTAATTCTTTATAAAGGGAGCCTTTGGAAGGCTGTGCCTGCTTGCATTGCAGTGGGATGAGAAGACAATCAGGTAGTATGGCTGTCTGCAATGTCACTGCTGATTTACAAGCCTGTAGCTTGTCTAGATTTGGTCTCTCTGTTGTTGAAATCTGCCTACTGTGAGCCGCAGTGTCTGGGAGGGGGAACTTGGGAGACTCCAGAGAATGTTTCAGTCAGGGATGTTTTTTTTTTTTTTTTTATTTACAGTGAGTCTTGAGCATCAAATAGTAACTGGATTTGGGACCTGTTTAGACTGTCAAAGAGGAGCTTTTAGATCAAGGGTCCCCAGACTTGTAGTAAACTTGCCCCTACATTGGTGGCCAGAGTGTGTACCAAATGGCAGTGTTGATGGTCAGTGGTAGTAATACATGTCCCTACATCAGTGGAAGTAAAAAATGCCCCTGCTTCAGTGGGAATAAAAATTGGGTCAATGGGAATGCATGTCTGCATTACATTACATTACATTACATTGAGTTTATATAGCGCCAAAGGGTTTGCTCAGCGCTGTACAATAGAGGGGGGGACAATACATGAAACATTACAGCAACTACAAACAGCACACGAGGGGTTATAGGGCCCTACTCTTTCGAGCTTACAATCTAGGAGGGAGGGGGGTAGTGGTACAGGAGGAAGTGGCTGTGGGGGATGGAGTGGTAGGAGGAATGAAGGAGAGCAGCAGTTAGGTGAGGGTGGGGTAGGCTTCCCTGAAGAGGTGGGTTTTCAGGGAGCGCCTGAAGGTGAGGAGGGAAGGTGACAGTCTGATGGATTGGGGTAGTGAGTTCCAGAGGATGGGGGAGGACCTGGAGAAGTCCTGCAGACGTGCGTGTGAGGAGGAGACCAGGGAGCAAGATAGAAGGAGGTCCCTGGCATTTGTGTCAGTGGGCTAGTAAAAAGTATATCCAGCAGTAATGTCATGGGTATTGGAATTTAGTACCTCCTAAGCAGGCTCCAAGCCCTGTTCCATGCCTTACAATTGCTCTGCCCTTAATATCTGTGTTCCAGTGCTGGGCACCCACTGCCACTGTGCAATGCAGCCTTCCCAGTGTGCACTGAGAAGGGCCTTTTTTTTTTTTTTTTTTTTTTTTCCTGGGGCCATCATATGCGACCAGTGGGCTGCAGTTTGGTGACTGCTGCTTTAGATGACCTTTTAATGTCTTAACCACTGCTTTTACTGGTGCTTAATGCTGCATGGTATCCCTTTTGAAAATCTTATAAATGTTTCCACCATCTTTCAGTTAAAACATGCACATAGTCCAGACAGTTCATCTTCTGGCTCATATTTCCCACATAACACTGAGGCATGGTGATTGGCTGCTCAGGTAACCGATATTGGATGACCCTTCCCTTTGTGGGTATTGGGAGGGGAGGGCTGGTTCAGGTAGTGGCTGAAAGCTATGCAGTCAGCTTTTTTTTTTTTTTTTTTTTCCCCATTAAGCTATTTTAAGACTGTGGCTATAAATGTTTTTTAATAAAATATGGAGAGTATTACTCTGTTGTCCAGTCAACCATATCTGGTAAATCAAGCAGTCAATATATGTGCTGTATAGGTTTATCAGCTCCTGAGCCTGTGTTTTTAGTCACGGTTTTTAACTGTTTATCTTCTCACTAACCACCTTTCTCCAAATTTTATTGATTTAGTTTTAACAGACTCTATTACCTAACATACCACAGGAGGTCAGCTCTCCAGACGTTGTTATCATGTTCGTTAAAGTGTGTCTCTGTCTGCATGATTTGTCTGCAGAAGGTATTTTAAGCTGAACCCTGTGGTGCAAGGTGGGGGGGACTTGAATGCTCTTGAATACAAAACTCATTGTAATGTGGACTGAGTAATGTAAATTAATACAGTCCCCTAATTGTGACATCAGCATGTTCTCATATTTATCACATATTTTCTTCTGATTTCACAGGCAACTGAAGAAGTGTCAAAAAATCTTGTGGCTATGAAGGAGATCTTGTATGGCACAAATGAGAAGGAACCTCAGACCGAAGCTGTGGCCCAGCTTGCTCAAGAACTGTACAACAGTGGACTCCTGGGAACTCTGGTTACTGACCTGCAGCTCATAGACTTTGAGGTGACATGACAACACAATCACTCAGTTGATTCATTGTACAATTAATATAGTGTGGTTGGTGGCCAAAGGTATCTGTTTTAGTGTTGTTATGCACCTCTATGTAGTCTCAAGTAGTTTCACGGTTTCCTTTCTGTAGTCATTCAACAGATCCTGTTCTATAGGTAAAGTGCACAGTTCCTTCTCTTCGTTCTTGCTGAATATGATGTTACACTGAGTTGGAAATAAGTCATAGTGACACCCTTTTCCTTGTAATTAAATGGAGGACAAGCTTCACTTAAAGCATATTCAAACCCCCAAAATCAACAATGTATATATTGCAGTTTACCAATCCTATTAACTGTGCCAAGAACCTGCTTCCTACCTTAGGGTGACAGCAGACGCTCACCTTACTTTGTGGATAAAAGAACAGTAGAGGACTATATGATGCCACCCCTGTCCTTTTATGAATAACACGGGGGTTTTATTCTGTAGTTCTCAGAGCTAAGAACAGTATAGCTGATAATAGTCAGTACATACAGAGAGCACAGGAAGTTATCAGCTCACTGACAAGATCAACAGATCTATTTGTAAATATATCAAACCGATTATAACAACTTTTTTGGCTTCTTTCAGACACACAACTGTGCTTACTGCCCACCTTAAAGTAATGCGGTGAATTGTTTTTCAGAAGGCGGTATAGCAGGGGTTGGCAAATGTTCGAGAGGCAATCCTGTCACCTCCTGAATATCTGCTTTTTTTTTTTTTTTTCTTTAATCCCAAGGGGGTTTTAGTGGTTAAAAAAAAATTGCACTACAACAGCCATGAGCCAAGTATTTGGCTCACCGTTGCGGTGCTCTCTCGTTCAAACTCAATGGATGAGTTTGACAGGCTGGGCCTGTTAAAAATTCTGCAGCCTTGTCATATGTATGCACCTGTCAGGCTGTAATGTTAGCATTTGGGTGGGATACCTGGCCCGTGTCATGTGTACAACCCTAGGTGCAGTAAAACTGTGGTTCAGCCTCCTGTTTTAAATACCTCTTGGCCGCCCAAGTGAGAGAGCTCTTCGAATTGTATTTTTAATAGAACATAAGAGACCAAAAAAAAGTTACATTGAGTTTAGCTAAGCTTTAGGGTTGTGTGAACATCAAGTTAAAAATCTCCTTCAGTGTTTTCAAAACTATGTAATGTGAGGACAAACCTAAACAATCCTATTAATTGGTGTCAAATAAGGCAGTCCCTTGTGCTGCATAGCTGATGGTATGCCTAACGGAGGTTGCACATTCAGATTGTATCATGTATTGCTAGCTATAGACTGCAGAGACTTTGTGTTGGAAGATGTGTTCACTCGGCAATCATTTTCCTTTCTCAGTTGACTAGAGTACAGTATGTGTGCCACATCTGTTGAGGGCCAAGTTGAGTGATCAGATTATCATGGATACAAATTGTGCTCAGTAACAAATACGCCTATGTACAGTACATCATTAATCTGGACACGCATTTTGCGAAGATTGAACTGTATCTTTTGTGTCTGGTAGAAAGTAATTTAAAGCTGTCTGAATCTTTCTGATAAAGAAATATGTAGGTGGCTCAAAGAAATATTTTGAGTTTTAGTTAATCTTTGTGATGGAAAGTTAATGGCTTTTCAAGGAAGTGCAGCCAAAATTTAAATTGATGGCTCAGGAGCTGTCACCTGTTATAGAAATTTCAGTAGTAACAAATTTTGTTTAATCTGAGCACACAGATTAATTTTAAAAGAGGAAGTATAGCCAAAGCTGTTTTGGCCCTACTTCTCCTGTTGGTCTCAGGAGTGCACTTAGTTCTGCACTCATGTTACCCGTTCTCAGCTAACAGCGGGCCAAAGCATGCTGTCGTCTGATGGCACTCGGCCAGTCAAGGCTCTGGATTGATCTGGACTTTGTCAGGATCCACCCAGATGCCTGGGCTGGCAGCTGGCTCAGCCTCTTGGGTAGCTGCTGAGAGCCTGAGCCCAGCCGCTCATGCCCCCTCCACATCCCTGCGCTCCAGTGAGCGATGGAGGGCCAGAGCAGAGAACTGGTGACTGACAGTCACTAGCTTTCTGCTTACTGAAGACCAAGAACTGAACGATCAGCGGTCTTTAATTGCTCAGTTCTTGGTCTTAGAGGCAGCCGGGGACCAATACTGCATCCACCTAGGTGAGTATAAAAGTTGTTGTTTTTGTTTGTTTGTTTTTTCCCAATTCCAAAACTTCTCTTTAAGTTTTAGATGAATTTCATGGCTATCTCATTATGTTGCTCAATATTGGTTTCACAAGGTTTCTCCATTACATTAACCTCTTCATTTTCACTGCCAGACCTCAGTGCTTCACTTTTAACCTCAGGTAGCCATACCATTTTTAGTTTTTCACTTTTTTTTCCCTCATTTTTCACTTACAGCTTTCAGAGTTAGTAAAAGACCCCCCAAAACAAACATACGTTTTCTGAAAACATTTGACTGGTAGAGTAAAAAGATGGTGCTACGGATTGTCTAGGTTTCATAATAGTTGTGTGAATGTTTATCAAAAACAATATTTTTGCAGTAAAATAATTATTGGCATTCAGAAATCCAGCATAGCTTACACAATTCCTATTCTATATAAATCTAAAACTGTGTCAAGTTAACACATACATTTGTGAATGTTAGATTGTTTTGGAAAATGATGAAAATCGAAGGTACACAAAATGGCTATTTATTGTGGTAATGCCCGATCTGCAGTGCCATGTGCATGCTGCATTGGTGTGTGTTGTGATTAAAATATTGCAGACATATGATTTAATCCGATGCGGCACATTACAATGTAAGGCAACTCACTGCTGCACATAGTTGAATGAATGTCATTTTAAAAAAGCTAAAGGAAAATAAAAACAAATCAAGCAGCTATGCCTTGTAACATTGAAATGCCTTGCTTGAGCACATCACACACCAGAGCAAGTGGGTTATGCACACCATAACACGTGTACTGATGTAAATGGGCCCGACATGAATTGGTGTAGTGCAGGTAATGTGCCTTGATACTGTGTTGGTAGCGCAGGTGTGCATGTTGTGATGTTGTGTGTGTGGTTGGTGGGGATGTTTTAGGCCTCATTCACTCGCTTTCAAAGGGCTTTACAGCGTCAAGAAGGAGCATATTTCTGCACTTGCTAGTCACAAGAGTTTTGAAGGACAGCCACAAGCTGCAGGCTGTACAAATAAATAACAAGCTGACAGATGCTGTGGCTGTACGCTTGTAACTGCACATCTTAAAGGGATCAGAGGATACAGGGAGGTTGTGGCAGAGGAGTGAATGCAGCTGATGCAGTGTATACTGACCTGGCCAGATGGACGTCATTCTGTTCCACTGTATGTCTTATATTGGTAGCAGTGAAAGGGTAAGAATATTTTGGCCTTGTATTGCCAGTATTATACTACTTAGAGTCCTTGTTGAGTATTATGCAAGCAAAATCAGATCCATGACATGCTTGTGTGGGTGTATAAAGAAAATATTGCTTGCAGTGTAATATAATATCACTGTCAATTTATCTGATTATGCTCTTAAAATTCAATGATTTGATATACCATTTTTTGCGTTTTTTCCAGGGAAAAAAGGATGTGGCTCAAATCTTCAACAACATTTTACGAAGACAAATTGGCACACGTACCCCAACTGTGGAATATATATGCACCCAGCAGAATATTCTCTTTATGTTATTAAAAGGGTGTGTACTGCATTTAGAATTCCAAAGTGTCAAATACCTATGGATATTAGATCAGTGTTTTACAAAGTACAGGTCTGGTAACTCAGAACTGATGTACAGGAAGTGGCGTGGCAGTGTGTTGAAGCTGATTATACATAGTTACATAGTTGGTCTGGCTGAAAAAAGTCAAAAGTTCATGCAGTTCAACCATAAAAAAAAAAAAAAAAAAAAAAAAAAAAAAAGGTCTAATCCTATACCCACAGTTGATCCAGAGGAAGGCAAAAAAGCCCAGCAAAGCATGATCCAATTTGCTCCTGCTGGGAAATAGAATCCCTTCCTGATCCCCTGAGAGGCAATCTGATATTCTCTGGATCCACTTTACCTATAAATGTTAGTATCCAGTTATATTCTGTGTATCCAAGAAAGAATCCAGGCCTTTTTTAAAGCAATCCATTGAGCTGGTCAGAACCAACTCTTGTGGGAATCTATTCCACATTTTCACAGCTCTCACTGTGAAGAAATCTTTCCGTGTTTGGAGATTACATTTCTTTTCCTCCAGATGTAAAGAGTGCCCCCTTGTCCTCTCTGATGACATGGTGAATAGGTCTACATCAAGTTCACTATATAAACCACTGATGTATTTATACATGTTGATCATATCCCCCCTTAATCTCCTCTTCTCAAGAGAGAATAAATTCAGTTCCTCTAATCTTTCCTCATAGCTGAGCTCCTCCATGCCTCTTATCAGTTTAGTTGCCCTTCTCTGTACTTTCTCCAGTTCCCCAATGTTCTTTTTGTGAATTGGTGCCCAAAACTGAACTGCATATTCCAGATGAGGTGTTACTAATGATTTGTACCGGGGTAATATGATCTCTCTCTCTCTGGAGTTTATACCTCTTTTAATACGAGAGAGGATTTTGCTCGCTTTAGAAACTGCAGCTTGGCATTGCATGCCATTATTAAGCTTACGATGTACCAGATTTCCATGTTTTCTTTCACGTTAAATAGTTTGTTTGGACAAAGCTGGTCCAAACGAACTATTTCCTTTACTAAGTGCTGCAGTGTCTCTTAGCCCTTAGTACTCTATGTACTGCATGTAGCTTGGGTTCCAGCTGTGAGACAGAGACTTCCCATCTCATACCCGGAACAATACAAAGTCAGTCTGAGGAGTGCTCAGCCAGTCATAGGTAACATTGTATTCTGTGAATGAATATAAAGCTTCCTCTGACTGGTGGAGTCTGAGGGGTGGGTTGATGACGTCACACTATCCAACTCTGCCAATCAGACAGACACCACATTGTTCCAGGTGTGGCACAGGAAGTCTCTGTCTCATAACTGGAACCCGGCACTGTGTACTGCATGTAGCTGAAGCTGCTTGATGTTTATGCAGTGTTTAGAAACACTGCAGCACTTAGTGATGGAAATAATTTGTTTGAATCAACTTTGTCCAAACAAATTATTTAAAGGGAAAGCAAGCACGTGGTCCAGAAACTGTCTTCGCTAGGGCTGGTTGGCTGATGGGTTCACAAAGGTAACCATTGGATATATGAAATAGAAAGGGTTTGTTGTCATTAACGCAAAGCGGAGATGTGGATTATGGCCAGAACAACTAATGCAATATAATAGCTGTAAGTGGTATTAGAACACTGAAAGGCCTGCAATAATGATTAGGGATTTTAGTTTACTGCTGTACAGTTTCACCAACTACACAAATTCAGAGTAGTTTACCATTTAGCTTTTAAAAGTGTGTGTGTTCATTCATTCGTTCGTTCATGAATTTGGTGTGTGTGCTGCTCAGCTAGCGATGTCTACCCACTTCAAGATTGCCTAACTGGAAAAATACATTGTGGTCTGAAAGTGAAATACTGGGTTATGGCTGCAGCTGGATGCCATAACCCCGGTATTAAAATTTTCAGCAGCTGCTGCTCTTTCTGCTAAAAGTGATCAGAGCTGCTGATGTGCCTCTGGATCACTTTTTAGAAGCAGTGGGAGGAGTCACCCCCACACCGCTCCTGCTGCTTTTTGGTGGTTCTTGGGCTCACCTGGCTCATTGGGAACTGTTGTAGTGGCTGGTCATGGGGATTACCAGAGGGAAATTGGCCTTCGCTCATCTTTATGTCCTAGGAAGGCATCGTGATGTCACCTCCGGTTCGCGGCCAATGTAAATAATGCTTTTTGTTTTGTTTTTTTTTTTTGTTTTAGAAAGCATTAGATCAATTTTTTTTTTTTTTGTTGCTTTCCAATGTAGAAGAGAGGTGTTGCGTCTTATAGACCTCAGATCTCTCCATAAAGAGGACCTGTCTTGTTTTTTTTGTTCTCACAAGGGATGTTTACATTTCTTGTGATATCAATAAAAATGTTAAGACAAATTAAAGGGAAAGTGTAAAAATAAAGTTATTAAATAATATAAACAATTTTTAAAGCCCCTCCCCCCCAATGCTTGCGTGCAGTGGCGATCACATACGTAGGTTACGCCCACATATGTAATTGGTGTTTGCACCACAGGTGAGGTATTGCAGAGAACGTTATAGCGAGAGCAAAAATTCTAGCACTAGACCTCCTCTGTAACTATAAACTGGTAGCCTGTAAAAATGTTTAAACCATCGCCTATGGAGATTAAGTTTTGTAGTTTGGCGCCATTCCCCAAGTGTGCACAATTTTAAAGTATGACATGTTGAGTATCTATTTAGTGAGCGTACTATCTCTCATATTTTACCAAAAAACCTGGGTTATATATTGTTTGTGTTTTTTTTTTTTTTTTTTTTTTTTTGTAATTCATAAAAAAAAATTTCCCCAAAAAATTGCATTTAAAAATTTGCTGGTTAAATACCATGTGGCATTAAAAAAATTGCAGTGACCGTCATTTTATACTTTAGAACCTCTGCTTAAGAAGAAAAAAAAAATTTAATGTTTGAGGTTCTAAGTAATTTTCTAGCAAAAAAAAATACAGATTTTTACATATAGAGAAATGTCAGAAAAGGCCTGGTCCTTAAATTGCTACAGGTGCCCCATAAACCATTTCAGTTGGACCTAAAAACTGTTATCAAATGTTTATGAGCACCTGTGGACCCTTCCCTTCACAGCTATTGGTGACTATCTGATTTTTCACAAAACTGAAATACATGTGGCCAGCTTTAATAAATATACAATACTTTCTCATTCTTAGAAAAGATGAGTAAAAATGACTTTTATATCTGTTAACGTACTGGTTAGTTATTAGATGTTTTTATTCTTGAAGGTACGAGTCCCCTGAAATTGCTTTGAATTGTGGGATCATGCTGCGGGAATGTATCAGGCACGAACCACTTGCCAAAATAATTTTGGGTTCCGAACAGTTTTATGACTTCTTCCGATATGTGGAGATGTCAACGTTTGATATCGCTTCCGATGCCTTTGCAACTTTTAAGGTAAGGCCTTTTTTAGGGGGGGCTGATAAGACTGGGGTGTCAGTTATCTTAATCACCCAAAGTATGCCTTTCTTTTAGGTAACATATTCATTGCTGAGTATACTTACAGCTGTTTTAGTTTATATGGTAAAGAAATCTCTAGTCTAAATACATAGCAAAAAACACACATACCCACTACAAGATTGGTAATTCGGTATAGCCACTCATAGATCACGATTAAAGGATAAATTCACCTTTAGTAATTTGCTAAGCTGGTCATACGCTGAGCAAATTTCTTTCCTGCTTTCTTTTTTGGAAAGGAAATTGTTTTGTTTCCCACATCAACACATTCATTGTTGGTGTGGGAATCCCTCCAGTGCAGCTTTTGTATTCTGACATTCTGTATTGCTGTCAGAATACAATTATCACTGCCTGTTGCTGTAGCTGATCAAATGGAAAAAAAAAGACAGCCAGGCTGGTTGTACTGAACTTGATCAAGCGATCAACTTCAGTACAACCAGCCTACATATACATGGATCGAAATTTGGTCGGATTTCGGTCTGTCGATGGCCGTCATTACATGTTACACCCATATTCAGTGTAACATGTACCATGCTACTAAAACACCTGCTCTCTCCCCGACTTGATGCTCCATTGTGACAGTGAGCCTGGGCTCCTCTCTCTGCACCTGCTGTCACAATTCAAAAACAGCGTGGTTCCGCCCATACAGCCTCATCATTTATTCACAGAATTCTTTGACTGAATGAACTATAAGTACCGTCTGCCACCACAACAGACCGCTTTTAGTGCTCAATGAACTGGGAGGGTGCTGGTGAGCATTCTTGTGGTCCATTGATTTTCCTGGTCTTAAGTAACTGTTTAGTCATATACATGAGTGCCCAAGCCCTGTCAATATTAAGATATTCATAAGGTTAAATGAATAAATCGATCACGCAGAGCTGATGCGCTACTTGCGGATTTTGTGGTACCTGTCTAAGGCACTTTAATGCAAGCCAATTGTACTTCCGTATGCATCGGCCTATAGTCAGCAGTTAGGCCTGCTGTATATGTGGTTCTGAAAACCCAAAGACCAGTATCACTGAAAGTCCTCTCAAGGTGTATTAATTAGGTTTTGCTGAAAGGTCTTGGGTGCTGAACACCAAATCTAGCAGGGTGCAGTTGCATTATGGGTAGTGCTGGTGTCTTCTATTTAGTATGGATTTCCTTTGTTTTATTGTCAGGACCTATTGACTAGACACAAGCTCCTGAGTGCTGAATTTCTTGAGAATCATTATGACAAGGTAAGCTGTAAATAAAATATTTGCCTCTTGTTTTTATTAAAATAATACTATTGTCCTTGCTTGAAGAAGATATTCCCAGTAGGCATAGTGCATATGTATACAAATCCATGGCTGTTGACACGTTTTGCTGTGTATAGTTTGTAGCTGAGCATAGTAACAGGACACATGCCAACACGGAGACTTCTCCAAAATGTCCCACTGCTCTTCAATTATATCAGTCCCTATGAACAGCTCTTCTATAGCAGCCTTTGCTGGCAGGGTGGACCCACTCCTGAACATTTACAAAATATTCAGTTCTAATGCATCTGCCAAAATAATAGTCCTTTGCAGAACTACAGCTTTCCCATATAAAACTTTTCGTATTTTATACTCTTGCTTTAGGTTTCTGCTTTATATACTGTGAGGTTATAAGTTCTTCACTCTCTCCACATTTTTTTGATGCTTTTTTTTTTTCAGTTCTTCAGTGAATATGAAAAGTTGTTGCACTCAGAAAACTATGTGACAAAGAGACAGTCATTGAAGGTATGTGCATTTTCAAGAGAAGATTTATTTATTTTTTTATCTAAGTTTAAGACAAGCAAAAGTGTGACTGTTCCAGGATTAGGGATACAGCAAACAACGCCTCTTAGAGGTGTAGGATAGAAGTGCAGGGGGAGTGACTGGATTTAGTATGTGCAGGAGAGGAGTGCTGTGGGTATGACAGAGAGCAGTATGTGCAGTGGATGGTATGACAGGGACAGTGTGTGTAGGAAGAATGCAAAGGGTATGTGAGCACACCGTATGTGCAGGAGAGAAGTATTGTGGGGATATAAAAGCATCATGTACAGAGAGAGGATTGCGGATTGTATGGTGGGAAGCAGTATGTGCAGGAGAGGAATGTGGAGGATATGCCAGGGGTCATTATATGCAGGAGAAGAGTGCTCAGTGTATGGCAGCAGGCAGTATGTGCAGTAGACAAGTGCGGAGGGTATTACAGGGAAAGATATGTACAGGAGCGTAATACAGAGGTTATAAGGTATATTGCCATATTTTTAATTTACATCTTTACTGAGCTGCAGGAGTACAGCTGTTGTCATATGTCTGGCGCTTTGACACTGGTCCTCCTGGTCTCCGCTCCAGCAGCTACGGAGCCCATTGTAGCTGCTCTGGCTGCCTCTCCTCTCCTCCCGTCACAGAGCGTTTTGTATTATTTTAGCTCATTTACAAACTAAAAAAGCCTTCTGTGAACGGGCAGCAGAGGGGAGACTAGGGGCAGGCAGAGCTGCTGCTGTGTGAAAAACTCTTCTGTCAGATCGCTCGGAGAATAGCGATATCTGCACTCCCCCGGTACTCAGTAAAACTGGTAGTTTTAAATAAGAGAAGTCCAGAAGGCAGCATGCACCTTGTTGGACTTGGCTCATAGTAAGACAGCACAATTTAGAAAGTTGCTGAATTTCGGTCTGTTTCACCGGCCGTCTGGTGTTCCCAGTGCTGGTATCTTCAGTGTGGGCACCTGGCTGTAATAGTTTGCAGCTTCACAACCGGGTGCCAACTGCACATGCGCGAATAATGCTGCTATTTTTGAATGGTCCCATAGTCTTCTGCTATACACAGACATGCAAAGCAGTGTGCAGGAGCTGACAGGGGAGGGAACTGTATTGTTCAAAAACAGTTCTCCCCCCGTCGGAGATGCTCGGCAATCACCGGCCGTGACCGGGTGATTGACAGCCGAGGCCGCAAATGGCAGCGCGGGTAGGCCCCTTACCCTGTACTGCAAAATTGTGTATATATACGTCATTTTGCACACCCGTGCCGCCCTGTAGCAGTACTTCTGCTATAGGACAGACGGGAAGCGGTTAATGAGGAGTGAAGACCTGTCTTTAAAGCAGAACTTCCCTTTTGGGTGGAGCTCCTCTTTGAAATTCATGTCTGGGGACTGAGCAATGAGGAGGGAATGCACATGGCATGAGTATTAGGTGTTAAAGTGGTTGTAAACCCTTACATATACCCAGTGAAGTGACTGGCCTCAGGTGATACACAGAGATGAAATCATTCCTGCTACATAAGTTGTACCTTTTTATCTGTAGTATTCTCTTCTTTACAGTTGTTCAAGGCTCTGCGAGCTGATTGGAGGGAAGGGAGACCCACTCCCCTCACACAGCACACAAGAGCAGAGCTAAGTTAATGTTAATCGGCTTGAGGTCCCTCCCCTGTCATCATTTTTCTCTTGGTGTCAGGAAAACTTATCAGAAGTGACTCATGCTGATAGCAGAGGAACTAGGCAGCAGTCAAAAATGACACTTGGTGCTCTGGATTGAGACAAGCACACACTATAGAGGGCTATGCTTTGTTCATATTTCAAATCATGATGTTTATAACCACTTTAAGGAGTTACCATATATGTGCAGTGGAATGAGTACTGGAGAGTTAAGCCACCTGAGTGGGGGCTGGGTTCTAAGGGGTTAATGCTTATATACTGGGGAGAAGTCACTGAGGAGTTTATGTACAGACACTGAATATTCATCACTTGGGGTTTGATGCACATGGTTTTGAAGCACATCACATAAACTGCAGACAGGTCAATGATGGGGTTAACTCTTGTAAGCTGGGGGACTGAGGGATTAACACTCCTTCTGTGGGGACTTTTTACTCCGAGGTTAATACACATACACTGCAGAATGGTCTTTGAGTTAATTCACATACTCTGCTGGTGTAACACTGTCTCTGATGCTGTCTGGATTGAAGGGACAGCTCACTGCTCTTGTGAATAAGTCCTCATGCACACTGGACGTTTTGATAACGCTGGTAACCTTAGCTGCGTAAAGTCGCGTTTAAAACGCAAGTTTTTCAGCTTTTTTTTACCGGTTTTGCATTAGCTTTTAGCGCCGTGTTTCTGCTCTTGCATTTTTCAGTGTGTTTTTTTTTTTACCAAAATAAATTATTTGTTTTGGTCAAAAAAAAGTTCAAAAACACCGGTTTGCTGCCATTTGCCACATTTTTCAGCATTAGAGCGTTTTAAAAGCTAAAAAACTCCTGTAGAAACCCACTAGTCCTGGGTTTTTTCCAGCCAAAAAAAAGTCCCTGCCAAAAACATTGATTACAGTCTATGTGTGCATGGACACATAGGATAACATGCTGGGGGGTTTACTGGCTGTAGAAAAAAACATCAAAAGCCAAAAACAGCCGCTGTAAAAACATCCAGTGTGCATGAAGACTAAGGAGTGATGTTTGTGTGGAGGCAAGGTACAGGTGAGAGCAATGTGTGTCCTAACACACACAAAGACAATCCTGAACTCCACGATTGGAAGTTATAAAACGTTATCACTGCAGGTGGGGTAGGGGGCAGAGACTGCTGCCGAATGGAGTTTATCCCATAGTGTTGAACCTCCAGACTGTGGGGTGTGTGTGTGGGGTTTTTTTTTTTTTTTTTTTTTTTTATTATTATTACTAAACCTGGAGAATGCAAAATCTGAAGCAGCTCTGCATAGAATCAATCTGCTTCCAGGTTTTATTGCCAAAACTTATTTGAACAAGCTGCAGTTAGAAGCTAATTGGCTACCATGCACAGCTGCACCTCTGTGGAAAGTAGTATGGGTGTATACTCAGCAGCAGTTGTTTTACAGTAATCAGTCTGTCATATACCCTGCATCAGTGGTGTTGCCATTTTCCCCCCCAGTGAACATAAACAAATGACAGCATTCTTCAATAAAATGGAAACTGCTTATTGCTTATTTACAGTTGCAAGAAAAAGTATGTGAACCCCTTGGGATTACGTGGAGTTTTGCATGAATTGGGCATAAAATGTGCTCTGAACGTCATCTAAGTCACAACAATAGAAGAACACAGTCTGCTGAACATAATACTACACAAACATTAGATGCTGCCATGGTTTAATTGCACATAACATGTAAACATTCACAGTGCAGGGAGGAAAAAGTATGTGAACCTTTGGACTTAATAACTGGTTGACCCTCCTTTGGCAGCAATAACCTCAACCAAACGTTTCATGTAGTTGCAGATCAGACCTGCACAACGATCTGGAGTAATTTTGGATCACTCCTCTTCACAAAACTGTTTCAGTGTAGCAATATTCTTGGGATGTCTGGTGTGAATCGCTCTCTTAAGGTCATACCACAGCATTTCAATCGGGTTTGAGGTCAGGACTCTGACTGGGCCACTCCTGAAGGCGTATTCTGTGCTGTTGCAGCCATTGTTCTGTTGAATTACTTGTATGCTTTGGGTCATTGTCCTGTTGCATCACCCACGGTAAGACAGACTGTCTACAAATGGAGCTTCAGTTGCTACTCTCCCTAGCGTGGTCGTCAAAAATGGTCGTACGTTTTCCTGCAAAATGTCTTGATAAACTCTGGAATTCATTTTCCCATCAATGACAACAATCCGTCCAGGCCCTGAGGCAGCAAAGCAGCCCCAAACCATGATGCTCCCTCTGCCATGTTTTACAGTGGGGATGAGGTTTTGATGTTGGTGTGCTGTGCCTTTTTTTCTCCACACAGAGTGTTGTGTGTTCTTCCCAAACAACTCAATCTTGGTTTCATCTGTCCACAGTAAATTTTGCCAGTAGTGCTGTGGAACATCCAGGTGCTCTTTTGCAAACTTCAAACATGCTGCTATATTCTTTTTGGACAGCAATGGCTTCCTCCGTGCTGTCCTCCCATGTACTCCATTCTTGTTTAATGTTTTCCTTATTGTAGATGTGTCAACAAAAATGTTAGCATGTGCCAGAGATTTCTGTAGGTCTTTAGCTGACACTCTGGGATTCTTCTTTACCTCATGCAGCATTCTGCGCTGTGCTCTTACAGTCATTTTTCACAGCCCGACCACGCTCCTAGGGAGAGTAGCAAGAGTAAACTTTCTCCATTTGTAGACAGTCTGTCTTACCGTGGACACATGAACATCAAGGCTTTTGGAGATACTTTTGTAACCCTTTCCAGATTCATGCAAGTCAACAATTCTTGATCGTAGGTCTTCTGAGAGCTCTTTTCTGCGAGGCATGGTTCACATCAGACAGTGCTTCTTGAAACCAGTAAACCCAAAACAGGTGTGTTTTTTTAAGGGCAGGACAGCTGTCAGCAACACATCCAATATCATCACACTGATTGGAGTCAAGGTTGGCTCAATCCTGGCTCCAATTAGCTCTGGGAGAAGTCATTAAGCTAGGGCCTCACATACTTTTTCCTCCCTGCACTGTGAATGTTTACATGTTATGTGCAATTAAACCATGGCAACATCTAATGTTTGTGTAGTATTATGTTCAGCAGACTGTGTTTTTCTATTGTTGTGACTTAGATGACGTTCAGAGCACATTTTATGCCCAATTCATGCGAAACTCCACGTAATCCCAAGGGGTTCACATTCTTTTTCTTGCAACTGTATATACAGGGTACAGGGTTCATACATCAGCAAATATTCTGAGTCCACAAATATGCAGGAGGGAACATTTGGCTGCTCTCTGGAATAGTTGTTCTGTTGAGCCTGCCACAAATCTGTTCAATCTTCACAGAGCATATGATGACAGAACGAATAAGCAGAAATTACAGTACAAAACAGCAGTACGTTCAGTAGTCTAGAGACATGGGTATCTAAAGTTGCCTATATTTCTGGATCGTGTGTATGTATACACACACAGTGGATATAAAAAGCCTATACACCCGTTAAAATGTCAGGTTTCTGTGGTGTAAAATAATGAGACAAAGATTAAATATTTTTTCCACCTTTTAATGTAACCTATAAACTGTAAAACTCAGTTGAACAACAAACTGAAATCTTTTAGGTGGAGGGAAGTTAAACTAATATAGTTGCATAAGTGTGCATACCCTTAACCACTTCAATACCGGCACTTTTACCCCCCTCCTGCCCAGGCCAATTTTCAGCTTTCAGTGTTGTCGCACTTTGAATGATAATTGCGCAGTCATGCAACACTGTACCCATAAAAATGTTATTTTTTTCACACAAATAGAGCTTTATTTTGGTGGTATTTAATCACCACTGAGTTTATTTTTGCTAAATAAAACAAAAGCTGAAACTTTTGAAAAAAACTCTTTTTTTTTTTTTTTTTCTTTTGTTTTTGCTATAAAATTTTGCAAATAATATTTCTTCATAAATTTAGGTCAAAATGTATTCTGCTACATTTCTTTGGTGAAAATACCCCAAAGTAGTGTATATTATTTAGTCTGTTGGAAAGTGATAGAATCCACAAAATATGGTATATATATCTGAGAATCGATCAATGTACTGACGGCCAGTCTTATTTCTTGAGTCCCGAAAACGCCAGCATAGTTCAAATACCCCCCAAATTACCCATTTTTTTAAAATAGACAGTGCAAGGTATTTAGTAAGAGGCATGGTGCGTTTTTTTTTGAGTTTGTAATTTTTTGGTACAATTTTTTTGGAAAATGCAGAAATTAAAAAATAATCACTTTTTTTTTTTTTTTACATATTGTCACCAGTCCAGTACAGCGTGATTATATAACTGATGTGGCAGTGATCAGGGACACTTACTGGTGACAGTATGTAAAAAAAAAAAAAAAAAAACAATTGAACTTTAATTTTTTTTTCAACTTTTTCTATTTTTTATTATATAATTTTGTTTATTTTTTTTTCCAACACACTGACCAAAGCAATACAATGTTGCCATAGTAACATTGAACTAACATTGAACTATTGAACTACTCTGGGCAAGTGATCAGGATTTTTTTTTTTTTTTTTTTTACACATGATTGGTAATACCAATGTATTTCATTGATATTTGCATCCCTTGTTGCTGAATGATTAATTCAGTCTTTTTTTTATGATTGGCTGTGATTGGGCAAAGCACATCACATGATACAGATGGGCTGTGATTGGCCCTGTCTGTACCATGTGACTGCTTTTGATCAATCACAGCTAACAACACAATTATAGACAATGAATGGCATGACACACAGCCATCCATTCTATGCAATTGACATGTGATCTGCTGTGATTGGTCACATGACACTAGCAACGGGCCGGTTTAGTGATATGTCATTTTGATTTTATTCCAGCACTCAGTCTTTTTGGGTATGAGTCTTATCAGCATGGCACATCTTGACTTGGCAATATTTGTCCACTCTTCCTTGCTAAAACACTCTAAATCTGTCAAATTGCGAGGGCATCTCCTGTGCACAGCCCTCTTCAGATCACCCCACAGATTTTCGATCCTATTCAGGTCTGGGCTCTGGCTGGGCCATTCCAAAACTTTAATCTTCTGGCGAAGCCATTCCTTGATTGATTTGGATGTATGCTTTGGGTTGCTGTCATGCTGAGAGATATAGTTCCTCTTCATGTTCAGCGTTCTAGCAGAAGCCTGAAGGTTTTGTGCCAATATTCACTGGTATTTGGAACTGTTCATAATTCCCTCCACCTTGACTAATGCCCCAGTTCCAGCTGAAGAAAAACAGCCCCACCCAAGCAGGATGCTGCCACCACCATGCTTCACTGTGGATATGGTGTTCTTTTGGTGATGTGCAGTGTTGTTTTTGCGCCAAACATATCTTTTGGAATTATGGCCAAAAAGTTCAACCTTGGTCTCATTAGACCAGAACACGGTTTTCCCACATGCTTTTGGGAGACTTCAGATGTGTTTTTGCAAAATTTAGCCATGCTTGGATGCTTTTCTTCGTAAGAAAAGGCTTCCGTCTTGCCACTCTACCCCATAGCCCAGACATATGAAGATACGGGAGATTGTTGTCACATGTACCACACAGCCAGTACTTGCCAGATATTCCTGCAGCTCCTCTAATGTTACTGTAGGCCTCTTGGCAGCCTCCCAGACCAGTTTTCTTCTAGTCTTTTCCTTTCAATTTTGGAGGGGCATCCAGTTCTTGGTAATGTCATCCTTGTGCCATATTTTCTCCACTTGATGATTACTGTCTTCACAGTGTTTCATGGTATATCTAATGCCTTAGAAATTCTTTTGGACCCTTCACCTGATTGATACTTGGGATACCTCTGATGATTTGGAAGCTCTCTGCGGACCATGGCTTTTGCTGTAGGATGCAACTAAGAAAATGTCAGGAAAGACCTACTAGAATAGCTGAACTTTATTTGGGTTTAATCAGAGGCACTTTTAAGTAATGGCAGGTGTGTACTGACTCCTATTTAACACTATTTTGAATGTAATTGCTTATTTCTGAACACAGCTACATCCCCAGTTATAAGAGGGTGTGCACACTAATGCAACCATATTATTTTAGTTTTTTATGTTTACTTCCTCCACCTAAAAGATTTCAGTTTCTTTGTCAAATGAGTTGTGCATTTTATAGGTCACATTAAAAGTGGAAAAAGTTCTGAAATTATTTATCTTCCTGTCTCTTATTTTTACATTATAGCACAGAAACCTGACATTATAACAGGGGTGTGTAGACGTGTGTGTGTGTATATATGTATATGTATATGTATGTATGTATGTATATATGTGTGTGTGTGTGTGTGTGTGTGTGTGTGTGTGTATATATGTGTGTGTGTGTGTATTATATGCTTACTTTACAATGCTTTACCGTAAGGACCAATATAGTTTGAGGCCCTTGAAAAAGGTATTGTTGGTAATAAGTTGTACAGAAATCACAAACCCACTGTAGATAGATGGTTATTAACTGCTCTTTGTATCAAAGTGTAGTTGGAATTTCAGTGATTGGTACTCTCTCCATACCACAATCTCTTCACTTACCTGTTTCTCGTATTTGACCTTTTTCCACACTTTCCCCTTCCCTGTCCCCCTTCCCAATTGCTCCTACCTTTTGCAGTTACTTGGTGAACTTCTCCTGGACCGACACAACTTCACTATCATGACAAAGTATATCAGTAAACCTGAAAACCTCAAGCTGATGATGAACCTGCTTCGTGACAAAAGCCGCAACATTCAGTTTGAAGCTTTCCATGTGTTTAAGGTGATAAAATTATTACTGCATACCTGTAATTCTGTTCTGCTACTGCATGCCACAGTGCATAACCATATAGGTAATCATACCTCTGCGTCTCCGGCCTGCACTTTAACCCCTTCCCACCGAAGCCTCCCTGCCCTTTAAGAGTTTCAGAAGCCGGGAGGGGTTTAGGGATCATGTGACCGCCGTGACATATCATCACAGCGGTCACATGATCGGGAAAGGTCCTGATCGAAAAATCACACCGGGACCTTTCCGTGAGTACCGGACATGTGTGCTGGGAGCGCGCAGGGTGCGCAAATGTGTGGCTGCTCGGCGTGTAGGCCCAGACGCTGGGAGGCCACACATTTGTGTGCTGCCGGTGTGAAGAGGTTAAACAGTGAATCAGCATCGTCACTTTTATCCAGTGAGACAGAAGGTGACCAAAAAAGCTAAGCCCAAATAGAATTCCTGGTTGTGCAGTGTGATAAAGGCTAAAGATAATTAAAAATCATAAAAAAAACACATTTAACACTTGTGCATACTATTATTATGTCATTTTAAACCAGGTATTGGTGCAGCTAAACTGAAAATCTGCATCTATTGTAGACAGAAGAAAAAGACAACCTTTTAGGAGAGCCTCTAGAAGCTGATTTCCTGAAAATGCTAGGTGTTTGACTGGTATTCTGATACTTGTTTCAATACTTTCTGAGTAACAGACCTGAAATTCGTATACAAGTTGGGAAAGTCAGGGAACCATTAGAGGTCCTCATCTCCAATAAAAAGGTGTGGGTGGAGTATTCTAATGATTATATTGCTGAGCAAAAGCACAGTCTGGTTAGGTTTAGTTGGGGTAGCTATTACAATTTACAGTTGATTTTAGGATATGTGTGTCTACCCACAAAGAGTAAAGAAGGTGTAAAAAGTATTAATAAATGTGTCCCAACCATATGGTCGCAAGTAATCTTGTAGCACCAATGGTCAAAGGCAGGCAGTCATGATGGCTGTGCTTGAACAACAGTTTTCTGTATTGGCAGAGACCACTTGGTCAATACTCTAACAATTAGTCAGGTGATGGAGCATTGAAAAAATGTGATATTTCACAGGTAAATCTTTCAGGACTATTGTCATATTGTGGTAAATTTATACACACCCTTTAGCTTTTTAGGCTGGGTACACATGGGCCGAATATCGGTCAGTATCAGTCCGTTCAACAGAAACTGGCTGGTGTTCTGTCAGTTGTGTACAGCTGTCTTTCCGACAGAAGCCAGTCTAAGGACCAGCTTTTGCCAAAGGGCCATGTTGGAAAACCAGCGTGCGATCAGCGCTTGCAGCCAATGGTTGCGAGTGCAGATTAGAGTGTTCTTCTGGGGGAGGGGGGTCAGGATTCAGTTCCCCTGTCAGAACACAAAGGCTCAATGGGGGAGATCGCCGCACTAACATCGCTTGTGTTAGCATGGTGGTCTCTCGTTCTTTTTCCGTTCAGCCTGCTGGGCTGAACAAGAAGAACGCTACATGTGTGTCTAGCCTCTGTTTTACTTTACTGTGCTATATATTTTTATTTTGAAAATATAATTTCTCTTTAATTTACTTCACTGTTCTCATTTCTACAGGTATTTGTAGCCAACCCAAACAAAACACAGCCTGTCCTGGATATTCTCCTAAAGAACCAGAGCAAGCTTATTGAATTCCTCAGCAAGTTTCAGAATGACCGCACTGAAGATGAGCAATTTAATGATGAGAAAACCTACCTAGTGAAACAGATCCGGGATCTGAAAAGACCCACACAGCAAGAACCCTGAAGTGCAAAGGGGCGGGGAGGAGGGAGGAGCCCAAACCCAGCGCTTGCTGCGAGAGTATTCAGCATCCCGTGGACTTTGCGAGCAACGTCCTCACTTCTACCCCCCGAACAGTTTCACCTTATTCCATTGCATTTGAAGTTTTAGTCCAAGTGTAACCCCTTCCCTGAAGGAAGAACCCAGGTGCTGCACGTATCCTGCTGCAGCTCAGTGGTTAAAATGAATGCATAACTACCTTTTTATGTTCTTTCTTTCCCTCCCTTGCACATTTATAGAGCAAGACGGATTTTCTTTACCCCTAATTCTCCATGTTGCATCAGCACGGGATTGAGACTTGCTCATTATCACAGTATCAGGGCAAAAAAAAAGTGCATCGAAACAAAGGAGGCTGTAGAATCTCAAGCGAGTGTAGAGCTAATACTCTGGGTTTTGGATAAGATGGTAATACATGTACTTAATATTTTTCTCTCTTATTATTATTATTATTACTATTTTTTTTTTAAATGCAATGCATGGCATGCTTGCAGAGAAAATGAAAAAAATAACCCATAAAATTCTGGTTTCCATCAGCATATTTGCACATAAACTTATCAGAGGGATTGAGCACAAAATCTAATCTGTGCATAGGTGGTACCTTAGGTTTAAAACAACAATATGCCTTGATTTCAAACAGAAACAACCAATAAAATGCAACAGTGCAGTGCTTTTATTTCTAATGCTGTGGAGTGGCACGGACCGCTTCATGTTGGGGATTGGGAGGGGGAGGGGTGTGAATAGGAATGGATTGATACTGCGTTCATTATGTATTTTAAAAGTGTGGAGTGGAGGAGCTTGATGCAGAGGGATTCATGTAAAAATGAGTGTATATTCATTATATATGCCTTTCAGCTGCTTTCTTGCTTTCCTTGGCAAGTGTGTTTTGCTGTTTTAGCAGGCTCATAGGAGGAGGTTTGAGAAAACAAGCAGCATCTTATGTCATTGATATGGAACTTTCTGCTGACTTGTTGGCACCATTCTGTAAACTGCTCATGAGTGGAACAAGTGTTCTGAGAGAGAGAGAGAGAGAGAGAAATGGGTACAGGCAGGCAGTTCAGCTACTTCATCCTTTGGTCCTATTATGAAAAGCAGCTATGTAAACATCAATTTGAGGTCCTTCACAAATGTTAAGCTTGATGTAGAGCCTCGTGCAGCCAGTATTTCATCCTTGAACATAATATGTTGCTTTAATCCCTCATTACTGAAGCGAGGTTACAGAAAGTTTGGCCTCTGATCATGTATTCTCAAATGGTAGGGAGGAGAATGGAAATGAGGCTAAATGTGATTTATTGCTTCACCCTGGAACACCAAATTCAGCATGACATACATCTCTTTCCCAATCTCATATATAATTGCTTTGGCAAACACATTGCATTTCTAAGACCCACCAAGAACATATGTTGCAGGTTTGTGTGCATCTTCAGCCAGCCAGAATGACTACTTACCTGTGCCAACTGTGCGGGAGGATGACATGTGGATTGTGCCATAGATTCTGTGGCTGGAGGAGAGGTCACCTGGGATTGGATAATTCAGTGAGGCAGTATGCATGATGGCTTGGTGCAATATGTATGACTGCAGTTATAAATGAGAGCATGCAGATGGAGAATGTAGCAGGGTATCCTTGTTTAATAAACATTGCAATGTTCGGTAGTCTAATAAGTATATTTACCTGGAACAAAGAACACATCTGGTTAAATGCTAATTTAGGGTTTAAATGAATAGGCTAAGGGAAATCTTCAAGGATAACAATGCTTTCCCTGCATCTTTATTTGTGTGAGGAGGTTTCAGCCTGGTGCATGCAGCTCAAGTAGTAGTGCGTGTGGTCTGTTTCCCATTAAGCAACCACCCTCACAGAAATTCTATAGATGCTCCCTGGAAAATGCTACAACCAAAGCCTCGGGTGAAGGGGTAAACACTGCGCTTCATGCAGATTTGCTTTGGGTTTCTTTGGATTCTCTGTGTACATACGTTTTTGGCCTCTTATTCGTAAAGAAAAAAAATAAACTGTACAGCAAAGGAGTGTACTGATGTTTCTTGTTGTTTACAATTTAATGTGGGCTCTAATTCCAAGTATCCATGCTATTCCATTTACCCTACAGTGATAATACCATAATTTCAATTTTTAAAGTATCTATACACCCATATGATTGAATGAAACAACAAGCATCTAAACTAATGACCAATTTGTATCCCAAACCGGCAATTCATTAAAAAGATACATCTATGTAAAATCCAGTTGAAAATATTATTCTACGCGCAATATATTTTTTTCACATAGATATACTGTATATTTCTAATGAAATGAGTAGGTTTGAGAATCAAAATTGGTAATTAGTAAATTGACTTGTTTAAAGCATGTGCTTCATAGACAAATTGTGTTGGCACTCAGTGTGAACCAGTGGATTTTACAGTTGTTAAAAAAGCAAAAAATGTGTTTTCTGGAAACATTTATATTCACTTAGTCCACATGAATGTCCAGATTTAAACAGCATTACCACTTTTTGCTTGAAGTTTGTATATTTAACATTCCTCAACTTTCCTCAAGGCCTTTGCTGAGGCTATGTTAATAAACTGGCTCCCTTTGTTACCAGTCAACACTTTGCACAGCTGCTACATGTCAAACCATGCTGTCACTTGCAATGTGGACCCCACTAATGATCAGGATCCAATCACTGTGGTTCCCAATCTTATGACCAATATGTCAGCATTTACCATATTGATCACATTTAACATGAAGTGTGGCTTCATCTTGCAGAAGGCACTGCAATTATTGTAATAAAGAAATCTATATATCCACTTGTTAAAAGTGTATTAAAGGGATTTCTTGCTTCTTAATTGTACATTATGGGACACAGGAATCATGTACTGCTGCCTTCAGGATATTGGACCCTGGCAAACAAGAACTGTAAGGAAGACCCAGTATAATCCTTCCTACTTCAAGCATGCCTGTTTTTTTTTTTTGTTAGTGGCGTAGGAGAACAGATGTCTTCTTTCCTCTGGGAGAAGCAAATCTCTTTTTTACCTTTCAACTTTTTTTTCTCTACTAGCAGGATTCTGAAGTTGCTGCCCAGCCACTTTTGTTCATTTTTGCAATTTATGGATTGGCTAGTTCTTGGCTTAGTCCTGGAAGCTGTACCTGGATCCTGCTGTGAAAGAAAAAGTGGGACTGGCCTGTAATGTGCCCCCTGGACACTGGACCTAGTGTCTTTAGGCACCCTAAAGAGTGGACCAAGCTTTCCCGTCATAACAATACTTAAAAGTGATACTAAACAGAGAAGTGTTCATTGGCAGAATTCATTCACATAAATCACATATATCAGGCCACTATTTTTTTTTTTTTTTTAAATCCTCTAAGTACTTTGTTCCTGCAGCATTGGTATGTGGCCACATGATCTTTCCCTGTTCTTCTGTATTTGCAAGGAAAGATCCTTGTGAGGGACTTCTACTACTCTGCTGATGTGTGCTCTCTACAGTGTGAGTCTGTCTGGCCAGCCTTGATTGGTGCTGTGCCAGTCAAATGACTAAAAATTGTTGCAGAAGAGAAATTTAAATTATAAATATAAAAAAACTGTTTTACATCTTCCTATAAATCTTTATTGAACATCAAATTTGTGTTTTTTTTTGGAGGTAAAGATGATTGACGCTAGCTTTCGTTTTGTTCAGACAGCATCTGCAGCTAGGGCTCTTTCTTTACAGGTATTAGCAATTACATTTGATATATCCAGTTCAAGACCGCAATACATATATATACGCTGCGGTTTTGAAGTGGCATACCGGGGTTAAGGTTGTAGATTGATGCCATAACCTTGGTATTAAAGTTTTCTTCAGTCACTGCTGTTTCTAGTAAAAATGAGCCGTGGGGCTTTTAGCAGTGGCGGGAGGGATGGCTTCCTGCTGCTTTCCAGTGGAACCAATCTGGTGATCACAGTGGCTGGGCATAGAGATTAGCTGGAAAAGATGGCCTCAACTAATCTCTTATGACCTAGGGCATTTTATTTTTTTTTGGGGGGGGGGGGGGGAGCATTAGATGTTTTTTTTTTTTGTAGAGGAGGGATGTGGGGGGTCTTATAGACCATGCTCTTGTGCAGTGACAAACACATACATAAGTCACAACCACATATGTAAATGGTGTTTACACCACACATGTGAGGTATTGCCGCAAACGCGAGAGCAATAATTCTAGTACTAGACCTCTAACTCTAAACTGCTAATCTGTAAAGGCTTTTAAAGCGTCACCTATGGAGATTTTTTTAAGTACTGTAGTTAATAGCCTGGCTGAAAAAAGATAGAAGTCCACCCAGTTAACCCATTAAAAAAAAAAAAAAAAAAAAAAAAAAGTTATAATCCTATACTCCCAGTTGAGCCAGAGGAAGGCAAAGAAAAAAATCCCAGCAAAGCATGATCCAACTTGCTCCTGCAGTGGAAATAATTTCTTCCTGATCCCCCGAGAGGCTATAGGATATTCCTTGGATTAACTTTACTTAGAAACGTTAGTATCCAGTTATATTCTGTGTATGTAGGAAATATATCTAGTTTAGTGCCATTCCACAAGTATTTTAAAGTATGACATGTTATGCACCTAATTATTTAACACACACACACACTACCACTGTGTATATGCCCACATGTGTGACTTTATAGTCATGTGGGCTGTGCAGTTAAGAAAAAGGAGGAAATGAATGGCTTAGAAAGGAACTCAAATATATGCATGTGCCGTAGAGGACAGCAGCTGGTCTGCGCAATTTTGGCTTGCAGTGGGGACACAGCGAAGATGGGAGGGACAGCTAAACGCAGGATCAACCGGGATATTTCACTCTACACAAAAAAAAATGCTGCAGTGGCTTTGTGAGTATATACACACTGTTAGAGTATGTAATGAAAGTTTTTTTTATAGCCTTGGTTTAACAACATGGTCTGTGCCCATTAATGGACATTCCAGTGTTCAAAGAGCTTTTGGTGAAAGCCCT